ACTATCAACAGTAGAGGTATAGAGCTGGTATACAGAAAGTTATAATAAGAAGGAATGAGATAAAGAGAAAAAAGAGAAACGAAGATAAAAAACCAAAATTAGAAAATTTGCGAGACTATTATAATGGTAAGAAGTATTTTTGGTCCATTAAGTCGTATACAACTCATACCATTACCACAATTGGACCTCGTCTGAATAAGTCATATCAAAATATGTACCAAAAACTTATGAGAAAAAAGAGAAACGAAGATAAAAAACCAAAATTAGAGAATTTGTGAGACTGTTATAATAGCAGGAAGTATTTTCGGTCCATTAGTCGTATACAACTCTTACCATTACCACAGTTGGACCCCGTCAGTATGAGTCATATCAAAATATGTTCCAAAAATCTTTTGTGCACATGCAGATAAATTAGCAACGAAGCGATAAAAGCACTTTATTGTAGCCTCACTGAAAAGTTTTAGTGATATAGCACTGTCAGCGGCTCCAGCTGTTCACTTTATTAGAACAATTTTATTTGCAGCAATGTTATCGGAAAGTTGTCGGAGGTGCAGTTGTATCCTGTGAAGCGAACGGTGTCGAACCAGTAAGCGATGAAACGGCGGATGAGAACAATGAAAAAGTGCTGGATAACAGTGAAGAATTCTACGAAGCACTGGAACAGAGTCGATGGAGTAAAGTGGTTTTCAGCGCTGATATGCATGAAAATGATCTGTTAAAGGCCCTTTCTTAGTATATCATTCATTCTACATTGTTTAACATTGCTTCTTAGATTACAGACCATTGAAGATTTATGCTTTTTAAAAGAAATATATTTTCCCCCCTCGTCTGCCTCACCCCACCCCGCTTTTTTTTCCCTTTTTTTTAAACAGCTCAGCAATCGAACTGTATTAGTGGATGTTAACGTTGGCGATAGTAAATTTTTTTATGCTTTTTGCGATTCATCAGTAATGCGAATGTAAAAAGCGAATGCGCGCCTGAAGAAATGCTAAATTTTTTGCAAAATGCTCAAAACTGTATGCCATATTTGGACAGGTGGGACGTAAAAATTGATGTTTTGAAACATTCTAAGAGGAACAAGAAAAAGCAAAATTTTGAATGAAAAGAGGTGCCAGCAGATTTCAGAATCGCCTTTTTGGGAAGTTGAAAATACTGCTGTTCAAGGCATATTCCAAAAATGCCAGGCTGTCCGGGGATCATTGTATTTAACGTTAGTGATGTTACTGGAATACTTCCATCTTCCTGGCGCAGCCAAGCCAAGCCCTTTGGTCCTGGTTTGCTTATACATCGACGGTCTTTTTGGGTGTATTTGCGCCGTCTAATATTCGAGTTCTGATTTCCTTCCCCTCAAAGCGTACCGGTTAATTAAACAATATTGTTTGTTGAAATACGCAGCCGAGTGCTGTAAATTTTAACAAAACTGTCATCACTTTGTTCATTCACAAAAATATGGAACTTTTATATTTGCATTTCCTGGAGATAAAAAGGTTTTTTATGCAATAAATTGACAAAAGTACGTTCATTGCTTCACAGTTTGACAGCCGCCAGTTTTTGTGTGCTAGCAAAGACCATCATCTTATTGAAATTTTTGGCCATAGATATCAGCGAAAATATTAGTAAGATTGGGAATATTCTGTTGCTGTAGCATCGTATCATGGTCACCATCAACAAGAAACACATCTACTGGCTTTTCTGACAGTCGCTGCCAACCATTCGTCGTTAGTGCTCGAATTTCGTGTGGCGAATTTGCTCGCCTAAATGAATGAAGTTTAGAGAAGGCTGTCTGTGTGTTTACAGCTAAGGAATGAAACACAGATTGCGTACAAACTTGTACATAATAAGACTGGTCTTTTATGTTGTAGTCGTAATGGTGCGGTGTGGTGGAACGGTAAGAACCCCCATGTACTGGGTATTTAAAAAAGAATCGACCGGTTCAATGGTAGTGTTTCATAAATACTGATGTAATCGCCATGAGAGGGGCCGTAGAAGCCGCTGTGTAGACGAATACAACAGTCTCCGTATTTTGTGTTTTGGTGTATTTACTGGTTGGTCCGGGTTTGGAGCTACTAAGATCATCCAGGATTACGAGGAGGGTAGTAGATGGAGGGAGAGGAGGAGGAGTAGGGTCGGTCAAGTAGTCGATTACTTCCTGGTAGGCATAAAAAGTGTGAAAAAAGCACGTGTGTGGGGAAGAATAGCTTATTTTCTCTATTATTTTCTGGCTTTCTGGATGGCTTTAGAACAACAGTGGTTACAGTTCAGGGTGATCGCCATTAATGAACCCAGGCTGGAACGCACCGGCGGGCCCGTGCGATCATGCGTTTTTGCACTCAGGTCATTAACTG